CCCCCCCCCCCCGCATTATTTATACATTTATGAAATAATGTATAATAACTTGCGTCTTCTGGCCGCCTCCCCTCGGACTTTTTTGGAATAGATTTTCGTCTTGCATATTAATTTTTCATCTTTTAAATATTTACGTTGCCATGGAATTATAATGTCTATCGTATATCACATTTTGTATTACGCATCCTTCATTAATAAATACTAATTACAAACCATTGTTATGCATAGTATAACTTAAATATTATTCCCTGCAACCCTATACCTGGTTCAAAAACACGCTTGATTTCCAACCTATGAGAAAAACAATTCCCAATTCCAAATGGCAGTTTTCTTTCCGAAAGTAAAGCACAACTGAATTACAAATAAAGTCGAAAACAACCAGTCCCTCGTGGGAATAATTACTCCCAAATGATTAAGACCCGAAGGCGGTGTTAAAAAATCGCGTTCCCCCATTGGCTACTGCCCTGATTAGTGTTTTTTGTGTCTGCGTTACCATGCAGATATCTTAGTGTTGCTTTAAACGTGTAATCCTTTGGGAACAAAAAATTTTTCGCTTTAGTTTCGTATAAAAAAGGCGGTTCTTGTGACTAGACGTCCTTGTCAGGCCTCGAAAGAACTCTCGTTTAGATCCTCTGTGTTTTTGACAGTTTCTCGCGAGCTGTACAGAAGCTCACACTCTCAAAATGGATAGGCGGCTTTTGGGTGAGTTGTATTTTACTTTTCTGTTTGTAAACGGTCTTGTCCGATTTCAAAATTTGTTTCTAATTTGTGTTCTTGTCTTTAGTGTCTGTCGTGTGTGTCGTATCCTTTCTGCCGCTGTTTGTCATTGCTTCTTGCCCAAGCGGAGAGGTATGTTAAAATTTTCCAATGTTTTCTTGTAGTTTATAACATAACCAGGTGGCTGACTACAGCCAAACAGAAGGCTGTCAAATATACTACATGCTTTGTGCATTTGAGCGTTTGAAAAAGCAATGTTAAACAGGGTTGGGTAATACCATCTCAGTTCGCATCTTTACTGTTGTTATTATCACACGCTAGTACATACCGCATTTGTATTTTAACTTGAAAGACAGGGCATAACTGCTATATAGAAATGTCTTATTTGAGTTATAATAATAAGGCGACAACATCCTGGGGCCGGTTGTTCAAAGTTGGGTTAGCGCTAACCCTGGGTTAAAATTTAACCTGCTGTTTTAGTTTATGTATTTCTGCACGTCTGTTTATTTCAAAACTTGAGAGAAGAAAACTTCTATCGATCCAGACAAGATTTCTGAAGAAAGATTTCCAAATTTATACACAAGCTGTCAGAACGTTTGCTTTGAATTTAAGGTTAACCTAGGGTTAAGCTAATCGGCTTTTGAACAAACGGCCCCTGATGTTGTTTGCATATATATATATATAGTCTATAGACCTTAGCTTTTATATATGTTTGTCCTGTTTTCAATTAATGAGACTCGTTACTTTTCCTACATTTGAGACGTTTTGAAGTCATTCTCATTTGAAGTCTCGGTATTTCGTACCAAACATGCGGCAGTAATATATTTTCAGGCCCACATCACACTGCATGTAATAAAACGCTACGGCTACTTTACGTTCGGCGATTCAACAAGCAACGTTCTAGATACAAAAGTTTAGATCCCGTTCTCAAGGGTCCGAATGAAATTGGAAATTTGCACGGTTTGGCCTCTCGTGTTTAAACGGGTATGGGATCTGTTCATAAAACAAAAGCGAAATACAGACATTACTTTATCTGGCACACAGCTGGTGTTCTAGTCAAACAAGTCTTAGAAATTTTGACAGACATCTCAGTATTTTGATAAGTTCTGCTCTGCTAGTTGACAATATAACATTGTTTACCAAGAACTACCTTTTTCATGTCGCATAAAAGCGGAGGTAGTGTAAAAGGTACTGTACAACTCGTCCCTTGAAGCAGACACTTGTCAAAAATGGAACCGGACGTTCTTACATAAAAGCACATTTTTACGATAACATTCGCGATTCTTGAGTTAAAATATAGTGGCAGTACTACGTCCGAATATGGGCGTTTTGAGCCTTTCGTCACAAGATATACATATATATTCCAATTAAAACAAAGTGTTGATTAGATATATCTCATCCCGATCTTGTGTGTATTTAATTTCGTTATCTGGCTATACACACGTAGAAACGCACAAGTTGTTACAAGTCTGCAAACAAGTTGTTACATACCTGTTCACAAGCTGTCAACAAGTTGTGTTCGCACTGCTTGTTCCCAGTTGTTGTAACAAGTTTGAAACAAACTGTTAACAATTTGTAACAACCTTGTTGATATTATCAGACTTGACACAAGGTTGTTCTAACAAGTCTGATACAGTCATGATAAACATGAGAATGTTGCAAGGTTGACGACACAATGTTGTAACAATACTGCTATATCATGACTGAGTCGGACTTGTTGGAACAACCTTGTAACAAACCTGATAATATCAACAAGGTTGTTACAAGTTGTTAACAGCTTGATCCAAACTCGTTGACAACTTGTGACAAGCAGTGCGAACACAACTTGTTGACGGCTTGTTGACAAACTTGTTACAAGATGTGAGATTTTTGCGTGTGTAGGCGAAGAACGATCTATCCCAAACGTGTCCCGTGCACGGACGGACAGTGTGGGCAAACAAATGTCTACAATAAACTCGAACGGTCTGTCGCCGGGTAGCGACAATTTATATAGCTAGAAGTGTATACACTAAAAAAGCTCCATCGAGCTATACTTGTATTCGTCGACTTCGGGCGGATGAATCCCTTTTAATCCGCAGCTTTTTGGTAATCTACAATAAGCTGGTTTGGTGTGTGTCTGAACTGCCTGAAAAATATATCTTCAACGTGGGAGTCGAGTGTTTAGGTACAGGGCTCAAAATAACGGGCGGTCAACGGACAATGACGGGCTAAAAATGCCTCTTGACCGATCATTTTTTTACCTCACCGGTCATTTTGACCGGCCACACTTTCATCCCATCCAATGTGATTGCTGACGTCTTGAATTAAAACTATGATATATCGAAACAAGTTTTTAATACTTTGTTTCACTGTTAGTGTAAGCGTATCAATAACCGATCAAAAACAGATTTTGACCGAGCTAAAATCAAGTTTATCGGTCATTTTGACCGGAGACCTATCTCCCGTTATTTTGAGCCCTGAGGTAGTATTCCACAATGTTAAAATTGTTCGGTTGTTTGTGTCTGAACTACATGAAGAAGGTCGTTCCGTTTGGTAGACACTTTTATATATTTCAACCAGTCAGAGCAGAACAACTACAACATCGGATATCGAAAATGTCTGAGGATGATCTCGTGGATGACATGAACAGCCCCTTACCCCTTAGTCATTTCCTGATGATGACTCAAATCTAGTTGAAACGTGGAATAAAGCACTTTTCAAAATGTTACCGCGTTTTCGTTGTTACTATTGTATTACACTTTATATACTTCAAAGACATCGTACGTTTGTCTTCGATTAATATTATACAAGATGCTACACGTAATCGTACCCGCTTGAGTGATTTGCAAAGTTTTAAGTGATACGCAATTAAACAAAGCGTTTTTCGTGCTCTCCAGATATTGTTGTGCAAAGTGTTTCTAGGCCAGCTGCTCTCAGGGCCTATTTGCTTCTAATATCAGGATGTTGGACTTCTACATTCGATATAATTCTAATTGTATGTCTGTCGAAGGGTTTTGTATATATAGATGCTATTGTAAATGTTCAAATTTACCCTCGAAATTTTCATCTATAATTAAGAAAGCTTCGTATTGAGAGGGATTGAACTAGCTGAAGAAGACAAGTAATATACGTCGATATTTCGAGCCCTTTCTTTCGCTCTAATATTTCTATTCACAAAAAAGACTTTTGTAAAATTGGAATGAAATGAAGAGTTTAGAATTTGCAACATTTTTTCGCGTTTCCATGCTAATATTGCCCCATGTATAAAATATTTTTATATCATTCTGTAATAGCATCCAAAATGTCTTTGCCGGTATGACGTGGACATTTCTACTGATATGTTCTATAAACATGTTTAATTAAACTATATCCCCACCGGCACTGTGAAATAGTCTGGGCACAAATTGTATTTAAGTTCTACATAAACATTTCTAATTAATTGAACTATCCCATACTCGTGGTGAAATAGTTTAGCTGAAATTTCCGCGACTTTAATTAAACCTTGAAGTTATTATCAAGACTTAAGTAGTCTTCGAGTAATGCCCCGTACAGACGGGGAATTTTTCCTTGACAAGTTTTGACAGTTTTATTTGTTCGTGTGCATGTAAGGCAAAAAATTTGACAATTTTTCCTTGCCAAGAAACCTTGTTCCAAAGCTCGTCGTGCCAGCAGTTTTGGACAAGGAAAATCTGTTTGTGTGTACGGCTGCCCAGGAAAATTTGACAAGTTGTCAAGTTTTCATGACAAGTGTACAAGAAAAACTTCTGTGGTTTTGGCAAACAAAAGGCGGCCTGGACGTGAGATAAACCAGGTTTAACAACATTCTGTGCGCACGAGCAACAAAATTTGTCCAGGGGAAACGTGTTTCTGTATGAAAACCACAATTGGAAACCGTTTAAGCAAAAATTTTCCCCTTTGGCCGTGGAAGTATAGTATTTTAAACTAACAACCGCAGTGCTATATGTTGAGCGAAAACTTTGGGGAACGTACTCTACTCTCTAGACAAAACTATTTTCTTTATTTACTGTTGTTTTCTTGTTACTATGCGACCGAGATCACCACATTGTTATAAAATTCAAAAAGATTTCAATCACAAAAGATTAATCACCGTATCAGCGTACGTATTAGTAACGGTAATTGTCAAAATCATCTTTTTAATGTCCTGATCGTATCGGTCAATGTCAGCGCGATGGCGTTGGGTGATCGCTAGATAGTATACTTCAAAATAAGATTTCCGTTTTTATAACGTAGAAAAAACTATCCTAACGCAAAACTAAACCCTAACCCTATACTCACCCTAACCTAACCCCAACCTAAACCTAACCTAAACCCTAACCTAACCCTAACTTATTTTAATTATTTTAAAAATTGATATAAAAACGGAAACCTTATTTTGAAGTATACTATCTAGCAATTGCCGATGGGGTGGTCCAACAGCGGCACTGACCTCAATACGGTTGACTACGTGACTGGATGCAACAATTTCATCAGGATTTTTGGGCAGCTCACGCGATAACTAGATTGTAAAAGGATTTTGTAGATGGAAATTGCGAGTGTGAATGTTATTAGATCCAACCAAACACCTTACATTGGTACTGCACCTGGTTTCCATATGGTCGTAACGGTCGTAAAGCTTGAGTCACTATCTTTCTCATCAGAAATACAACAGTTTAGAACTGAAAATACGCGGAGTGATTATAACTAGAGAATACTTATGATTTATATGTGGTTTACAGGTATAAACTATTATAAACTGGCCGTTGAGAGAGATCATGACTCTATTTCTACGATCATTACGACCATATGGAAACCAGGCTTAACTACAGTATATACGCAGGAACTTGTGGTTAGAGCTCGACAACTGGCCTCTGTAGTTCAGTTGGTTAGAACTCGACAACTGTCTCTCTGTAGTTCAGTTGGTTAGAGCTCGACAACTGGCCTCTGTAGTTCAGTTGGTTAGAACTCGACAACTGTCTCTCTGTAGATCAGTTGGTTAGAGCTCGACAACTGGCCTCTGTAGTTCAGTTGGTTAGAACTCGACAACTGTCTCTCTGTAGATCAGTTGGTTAGAGCTCGACAACTGGCCTCTCTGTAGTTCAGTTGGTTAGAGCTCGACAACTGA